AGGCTGGTAATCCGATCTTCGAAAGTGCAGGCAGCAACAGCAACACTGAGTGGTTTGATCAGGCTCTTTGGCGGCAACAAACGTTGAGCAACAGTACGGTGCCAGGCGGCACCAGGAACAGCAACCAAAAATTTGGAGTCCACCTCCGAAATCAAAATAATACAAAACTTTGACTCTTCAACTTCAGTACTAGGTGGCACTGTGAAAAGTCCTAAAGAGTATTCTGGATCAGCAGTGAAATTCTCTTGATTCACCAAGGCCGACCTGAGCTCCTGATGATGGAGCTCCGCAAGTTCTTGAGGATTAGCCATCAAAAGGCTGAGCTGGGACGGTCAATCCGGCTTCCTCAGCACAGCAAACAGCGTCCTCCCAAGTGGGTAAGCCCACAAACAGGCTCTGCTTGAATCCTCCTTGGTCTCGCACAACCTTCTCAGCTTCTGACCAGGATGTGTAAATGCGCACTGGATCAAAAACGGTGCCCCTAGCAGATCGAGCTACTAAATACACCTCAGATCTCTCTTTCAACTCAGCCCTCCCAGACTTGCCTCTGCGCTGGCCAGCAAGCGAATTGCGCAGCCAATTCCCGATGCCAAGCAGCTTGGCAAAACGAACAGCCTGAGCACCACCTTGATCACGTGGAGCAGGGCGGCCCGAAGTCGCCGAAGTTGCCTGGTCAGCAGCGGGTGACGGAGGCTCGTCAACTAACTCAAATCCGGCAATTGATTCAGCTGAGGAAAGGCGAGCTTCCACGGCTCGCAAAGCTTGGCGAAGCGATGCGACCTCTCTTTCTAGCTCAACTACACGAACCTCTAGAGTAGCAACAGTGGAGGTAGATGAGGTAGAGCGGCGCATACACCCAGCTAGATATCCCGATACAAGGTGTGCTTGGAGTTGGGAGTAATCAACCTAGATCTCAGCCAGATAGTCCACGCTTGCCGCAAGGTCAACAAAAGCTCCAAAAATGGAAGTACAAACAGCCCAATGAAAATGCCAAGGCCCAAAATGCAAAGCTCTCGTTCAGATAGATCTGAGAAGCCCAGTATCACAGGGCAATTGCAATCCAGTTGAGGTATAGCTGGCAATGGTTCAGGAACTGTATGGACAGTGCTGGCAAAATCGTGAAGCAGGCTAAACAGCAAGGATGATATGCCGCCCCCAGCAAAACCGAGTGAAAGAACACGGGGGTGATTGGCCATACACTCACTTGACCCAGAAAGCTCTAGGCGCCACTCAGGTAAAACATGAGATCATACATTTACATACATTTACATACATTTACATACATTTACATACCATTACATACATTTACATACCATTACATACATTTACGTACATTTACATACATTTACATGCCATTACATACATTTACATACCATTACATACATTTACATACGATTTACATACATTTACACCCCATTGCATACATTTACATACCATTACATACATTTACGTACATTTTGTATACATTTACATACATTTACATACATTTACATACATTTACATACATTTACATACCATTACATATATTTACATACATTTACATATATTTACATACATTTACATACATTTACATACATTTACATACATTTACATACATTTACATACCATTACATACATTTACGTACATTTACATACATTTACATACCATTACATACATTTACATACATTTACATACCATTACATACATTTACATACGATTTACATACATTTACACCCCATTGCATACATTTACAATCATTTACATACATTTACAAACCATTACATACATTTACATACATTTACATACATTTACATACATTTACATACCATTACATACATTTACATACCATTACATACATTTACATACATTTACATACATTTACATACCATTACATACCATTTACATACCATTTACATACATTTACATACATTTACATACATTTACATACCATTACATACATTTACATACCATTACATACATCTACATACATTTACATACATTTACATGCATTTACATACATTTACATACATTACATTACATGACATTACATTTTTTACATACATTACATCCCTACAACCATACATCCCTACATCCATCCATCCATCCATCCATCCATACATACATACATACATAAATCCATTGGGTTGCATTGCATGGCATTACACTGCATTGCATTGCATTACATTGCATCACACTACATTACATTACATTAAATTGCCTTGCATTGCATTCAATTACATTACATTACCAGGGGGTTACGTTGCGTTGCGTTACATTACGTACGTTGCGTTACATTACTTACATTACGTTACGTTACATTACGTTGCGTTACGGTAGGTTGCGTTACGGTACGTTACATGTTATATATGCTGTTACGCTACATTACATTGCATTCGATTCGATTCCATTCCTTTCCGGTCCATTACATTACATTACTATTACATTACATACAAACATGAGGAGACAGACAAACATGCATACATATCTAGTGGGATGTGACAGATTCATGCGTTGCGAAATCATCAAGCCACTGGGGACTTACTGTCACTCTCAACACTTGGATGGCTCACCTTGCACTCCTGGAACAGGATATGAAAATGTCATTGTGTAGCAAGATTTCTGACACGTTCCTCTATTGGACAAAGGTCCAGCCAGCAACAAAAACTGCTTTCCATAGCTTTCCAAATTATCTAAAGAACAGCACATGAGTCTGGGTCAAGAAATCGTTCTGTTCACTTGGTCCTGGTACAGGGTATCAATACAGCAATTTCAAAGCTCTCTCATCCCCCATCCTAGGGATTCTGCTCAATTATATAAGGTCGGTTGTAGCCTTTTTCGGGGCGATAGTATTGACCCATACCCATAATGAACAGCCCGTACCTAGAAGCAATCAGGCTTCGCCGCCATGCACCCATCAATTCCCGAGCAGCAGGAATCAGCTTCTGCAATCCCGTCCACCCACATTCTCACTCACTCGGTTTGAGCGTCTGAGAATTCCAGAAACGAACCCGTTTTCAATTGGACTGAGCCAGAAACAATTAGAAACCTAGAGAAAACCTACAGAAAACAAGGAAACCAAAAAAAATCTAAGACCACTGGGGATCAAAAATCAAAGACCTCAAGTCAAACATCGCACACAGGGGTTCTTGCAGAAGCTGCCCCGGTTGCTAGTCTTGATTGTGTGCATGATTGAATTCACCGGGCAGTTTTGCTGCTTATAAAGCTTCAATGTGAACCATCATCTTGACCCATTCTGAATAATTTCAAACCAACTTTAAACTAATTCTGACTCATATCTCACATGTTTAGTTTGACCCGTTTTGAAATGTGTTGAGACCAGTTTTTGACGGGTCGTCAAATCATTGAACAAATCCGCCATTTTCAGACACACCCATTTTGGAATTGTGCTCCTTCACTCAGACAGTTTCAAGCTGCCTTCTTCGCGTATCTTCAGGTGTTGCATCTGCATTTGAATACGCTGCGCATCGGAGCGGACGTGGTAGTACGCGTTGCGCCCTTTACCTGGAGATGGTCGCCACCAGTTGCAGAAAAACTGGATTGACCCAGCAAAATTGGCAAAACATCTGGAATTACGCAACAAACATGGGGATATCAAGCACCAAGAAAGAGAATCGGTCAAAAATTGTGAAAATTCATGGCCCAGGGAATCTCAGGTGTTACAGTAGTGATGTGGACTTAAACCATCCCATTCTGAGCCCAAGTTGACCCAGGGGATTCTGCAGATTCCTGAAGTTTATGCGTGTTTAGCTCACCACTGAATCTGAGAGCGAGGGCGGCTAGTATTTAAATCATCAATTTCTGGTAATCTTGAGCTAAGGATGTCCTAAAGATTTACAGTAAGACTTTCCCATGGTTCCAGATCAAAGTGGCTCTGACCATCCACTTTCGGGTCGAAAGAACCAGCTGCTGGAACCAGGGCAAAGCTAAAGGGGATGGAACTGAGCAATAAACACCAAACAAATACTGTACCAGTAGTGTACGTAGTGTTTACCCAACAAAAACCCAAAACAAGTTGGATGGTTTGATCGTAAAATGCCCAGTGCCTTCATCTCTCTCAATGGGTCTGGAGTCTGGAGCTTTGACCCCTACTCCGAAAGAGCCATCTAGAAAACATGACCGCCAAAGGCACAGCTTCAGAACATAATCCTGCCTAGTTACAACATCTATTCACCCATCAGCAAATTCATTTCAGGAAAAGCGGAGGAAATCTAATGGATGCTCACACGCAAATAATTGGATTTGCATCGTCCGCCCCGCTCATGGGGCTACGGGTCGGATGATTTGGGGATCAAACTTTAAAATCCCTGGACGTAACGAAGATCGTTTGAGTCTTATTATATAGAATCTTTTGCTCCCAGTTTGAGCCATACAAATGAATCAGTAAAACATCATCGAAATGGTCTAAACTAAAGCCACAATATCTCCTGGTGTGTCCAGCTCGAATTTAAGCGTCTCAACTCCACTGAACCTGAAGAGGTTCTTCGAACAGCTCCCCCTAAATCACCCCACGAACGGGGATCAATGTGCTCCCAAGCGACCATCTCGCAACATGGGATCGGCACCAAACTCTAAGAGCACAAGAATCATGTCCTCAGCGGCGGCACGAGAAAAACCATGGTGAGTTTAGGCGGGACGCAACCAACAGAATGGTTATTTGGACTATGTATATCGACTTACAATAATGAATGGTTTCCGACAATTCGAAGTCTTTGGGATTTTTTTTGCGAGAAACAGTTGCAGGATTACCATCATGGATACTGGGATTGCTTGCCATATTTTTGGGAGGATTTCCCAACAAGCAATGCTTTTGGGATTCTAAGCATCAAGGCTCGCAGGATTCCGAGCAACAAGCGACAAGTCGCGATTCTGCACAGATTCGGACCAGCAAGGTTTTTGGGATTCAGAACAGCAATGATTGTCACAATTGATAACCCTGAATATTGAGTCAGTTGCTCGATTCAGGGCCAGATCATGTCGCCGTAGTTTCCAGCTAACCCAC